TTTTTATAGGTTGCGGGGATGCTTTTCTCACCACCTGTAAGACTTTCCTCAGCAAATCTAATAACATCTCGAAATGTGTAACAACCATCCCACTAAGTATTTGGATATGAACAAGCTTCAACATTAAAAAAAGCCTTGTGAACTCCTTACACCCCTCGTATAACGGTGACTCGTTTTCTTCAACAAGTCTCATCAATCGATCTACAACTTAAAACATATTAGTAGTGTTGACATCACTAACCGACAACACGACAAGAATATCTTCTAACATATCAGTCATGTCAACTGTCATATTGCTGACTTCAATGAACTCTTCCTCTGATTGCATCACCGGGACGCCTTCACCGTGATGACTCCAAAATACATAAGAGCTATCAAATTCATTGATTGACAGATGAAAACTTACATCACTCCTAGTGAGCATTTTACCGTTCCTGCAATTCTTACAAGGATAGAAAATCGACCCGCTTACAAATAGTCATGCCCGCGCTTCGTAGTCGGCAACCCTCCTAGAAAATCCATAGAAATGCTCTCCCACGGCCTAGAAGGAACCGGTAATGGTAGGTACAATCCCCTCTTTCTGTTAGAAGGCTTCGAAATACAGCATAACTTACACCCTCCAACATACTTGGTCACATCATCAAGCATCCGTGGCCAAAACACATGTCGTCGTAGATTGAGAAGCGTTTTCTGAATGCCAAAATGCCCTTGCACACGCGAGGTGTGCGCTTCCCGAATCCACTGCAACCTATCACCATCTTCCGGAATGCATAGTGATGTCCCACGATACAACAAGCCATCTTCTCCAAGTGCATACTCCCCCCTTCGACCAGCCTTCGCCTGCTCAAACACACTACCAAAGTCCCTACTAGATGCATACAGCTGTACATACTCCAAAGGAACCAAGGGCTGAATACGCGTCGCCACCAATAAAGACCTTATCGGCGGACGAGATAACATATCGGCCAACTTGTTCGTCGCCCCCTTCTTGTACCTAATAATGATGTTGAAAGCCATCAAATACGACATCCACTTCATGTGCCGTGCCTGCTGTAGCTTTGTCTGGGCATGTAAGAACTCCAACGGCTTGTGATCCGAATGCACGACCACCTCCTTCCCTAACAAGTACACCCTCCAATGCTTAATTGCTTGATATAGTGCATAGAACTCCTTGTCGTAGGTTGGGTAGTTCGCAATAGCACCCGAAAACTTCTCAGAATGGTATTCCACTGGTTTCCCATCCTGAATCAACACCGCGCCCATCGCATAATTAGACGCGTCGGTCTCTACCTCGAAAGTCCGCTGCAAATTCGGCAATGCCAATACCGGTGCCTCCGAGATCTTTCTTTTTAGCAACTGAAAAGCCTCCTCATGCGTCCTTCTCCACTCAAACTGAACTTTAGCCTTTGTGAGGCTATGTGCCGCATAAGCCGAAAAATGTCGAATGAACTTGCGCAAATACTGGCAAGCCCCCATGAAGCTCATCACCTCAGTCACTGTCTTCGGCGTCGGCCACTTTGTGATCACCTCCACTTTGCCTGGATCTATCCTCCGCTGGCCCTTCCCTACGATGAAGCCGAGATACACCAACTCGTCCTTCCCGAACTCGCACTTTTTCCCGTTGAGCTTTAGCTGTCCGTCCTGCAATACTTCAAATACCTTCTCAAGATGAACGAGATGCTCCTCCCAAGTCCTGCTGTACACCAAGATATCATCAAGGTAAACTATCACAAAATCCTCTATAAAGGGTCGCAACAAATCATTCATAAGCATCATAAAGGTAGCCGGAGCATTGCAGAATCCAAACGGCATCACCAACCACTCAAACAGGCCTTGCTTGGTCTTGAACGCAGTCTTCCAAGTGTCTTCCTCCCGAATCCTCACCTGATGGTAACCAGACTTCAAATCCAGCTTCGTGAAAAACCTCGCTCCCTCCAACTGGTCCATAAGATCATCGATCCGCGGTAATGGGTAGCGATTCTTGGCCCGGTAATCCACGCACATGCGCCAACCTCCATCTTTTTTGGGCACCACCAACACTGGTGACCCGCAAGGTGAACAACTCGGCATAATCACTCCCGTCTCCAAGAGCTCCTGAACCTGCTTCTTGATCTCCTCGGACTCCAGTACTGATGTACGGTATAGGCCTATGTTAGGTAAGGAACTCTCCCCGGTCAACATAATCTCATGCTCTACACCTCTACGCGGTGGTAGCCCCGTGATCTCCGAAAACAAGTCCGCATACTTGACCTTCAACCTGTCAAGATCTCCCTCCTGGCGCTTGCTCAAGGTAGACAAGCACATCCTACTCAGCTGCTCTTCATACGGCCGAATGAACAATAAAACGAACTTCCTGCCCACGTTCACCAACCTCTTAGCCTGAGTCACTGTCACCAAGCTCGTCTCCTGTGGGAGAGATGCTGAACGAAAAATGAATTGCTCGCCATCCTTGTTGAACGTGTACTTTTGGGCTCGCCGATCATATACTGCGTATCTATCCCACAAATAAGGATTGCCCAAAATAACTTGGCAAACATCCAACGAAACCACGTCGCATGTGACCTCGTCAATATACGACTCATGGAGTGCAAATCTGAATGAACACTGGTTCACCACACTCAATCCCGCCTCCTTCTGAATCCACCCTAATGGATAGGGCTTCGGATGCTTCACCGTCTTCAATCCCAGCTTCTGTACTAATGCCTCAGATATCAGATTTTTCTGACTCCCTGGATCTACAATAGCATCCACTAAACTGGTCTTGACCTGCAATTTCAGAACAAAGAGCTGCTCCCTCGGGTCGTCATCTTCTTTAGTGGCCTGTTTTCCCGCCATAAGGTTGAGACTGCTATTGGGTTCGGTCATCCCGGGAACCTCCTTCGGACCCTGTGCTATCACGTACGCCTTCTTCTCCTCCTTCTTCTTCAATCCTTTAGGCTTCAGATGAGGATACTTATCCCAGCAACGATCAGCCACATGCCCTGTCTGCTTGCAGGGATTACATGTCAATCCTGCCTTCCCCGAGTCAACCTTCTTCTTCTCATCCTTAGACTGAGAGCCACCCGTCTTGCTCCCCGATGGTTTGGAATCCCCCTTTGTCTCAGATCAGCCACATGTCCTGTCTGCTTGCAGTGATTGCATGTCAATCCTGCTTTCCCCGAGTCAACCTTCTTCTTCTCATCCTTAGACTGAGAGCCACCCGTCTTGCTCCCCGATGGTTTGGAATCCCCCTTTGTCTCATTGCCCTTCTTCTGCCGGCCCTCAATGGCAATGGCCTTCACGCTCGCCTCTGCGATTGTCTCCACTGAAAACAGCTTCATCTCCTTCCGAATGTAATCATTCAGACCCGCCATGTACTTCATGAAGATGGGATACTCGTCTGTTGCGATGTTTAGAACCATCGCCTGCTGCTGGAACTCCGTCGTATACTCCTGAACGGTCTGATTAAACTTTTGGCGCAAGCCATACCACTTGTACCAACGCTCCTCAAGGAACCCCACTGGATAGAACTGTTTCCGTAGTAGCTCCTTGAACTTGTTCCACGACGCCGCTTTCTTCTCCTGTTTGCAATAGGATTTCCACCACGTCAACGCGTGCCCTGAAAGCTTCAATGTCAATATCCATAGAGAGTGAAGTACATGTCCATACGTTCGATCCAATCATCAAGCTTCTCCACGTTGATACTCCCATCATAAACAGGAATCTCAACCTTGAAGTCAATCTTCAGATTCTGGTAATGATTCTTACCCCCTTGATGTCCAGTAGTCTTGACAATCTCAGTCTCCCCCTCTGAATCAGATTCCTCGTGCTCTTCGTAGGATTCGACGAGTTTCTTCTTACCATTCGAAGAAGATTCCTCCTTTTTATCACCTCCGTTGATTAGACCCACGAGTTGAGTAAGAGTCGTCCCGATCGTCTCAATCTGCTTCTCCATGGCATCAAGTCTTGTTGAATTATCTGCTTCAGACATCTTCTCCTTCCTTAATTTCTGGACCCCCTCCGAGGAATTAAGGATCTCGCCAAGCTTCTTGTACTGTGAGCGAGTAAGGACCATACACAGTTCCCCCCTTCACAGGATCTAGTGCTCTGATACCAACTTGATACGAGTCGCCGTGCGAGCACTCTTGATCGCGGAATTATCAAGAGTGGGTAAAGAAGAAAACGACTGAAGAACACAAGAGTTATAATTAGGGCGAAGGAAAATACCTTCTCTAGATTATGAGAATCAATTGGATTTATAAAATCTCTCTCTCACAATCTCTCTAGATCAAAGAACAACCTCCCTGATCTCTTTTCTGATTACAAACTGAGTTCCTAACCCTAGAAAAGTCGTGTTTCTATTTATACTAAACAGAAATCCCAACTGGAGCAGGAAACAGACCCAGGCCCATAACCGCTACGCGGTCGACCGCAGTGCCCAAGGCGGTCGACCGGTCAGAACGTCGAAATCTGGGAAATCGATTACAGGGTTTTCCGGTCGACCGCAGCGCCACCTTCGGTCGACCGCTCTCAGTCCCGAGACATAGTCTGGGTCTGTGCACTAAGCGGTCGACCGCCGCGACCAATCCGGTCGACCGGTCAGAGCCCAACTGTAATTCCTGCAGTTTTGACGAATCCTTCGACTTTGTTGCTTCCAATGGCCTCTTCCACGACTCCTCTACTCTATTCTCAAGATATCATGAGAATCATCTATCCTCAAGCTCCCATGAGGATCGCTAAGCTCCCGAAGAGAAGATACACCCGTATCAGAAACGGTCACATGTATTGAACATACTGATTCAATTTGTGCTTGTCAGCTGAAATCATCAATGTGTTCACCTACAAAACTTCAAGTCTCATATTTGGCCAAATATCCAAAATCCGAAATTGGTGCATGGATTTGTAATCTTATGCTGATGGATGAACTAAAAACCTAGGGATATGATATATCTGATGAATTAAGTAATGAAGGTTTTAGTCATGTAGGAATAGCTAAGTCATCTGTCAAAGGAAAGAACAAATTGCAGAAAGAAGCCCTCATGGACATAAGATGTATGTTGTATATGCTCGCAGAACCAGCAAGAGGTAGGATCATCATTACTAGAATCCTTACCAAGTCATAGTTAATCAGCGTAAACAAAGACCGAGAATTTTATTCAATTACAACTCTAAACACTGCAGTGAAATCATCAGCAACAAATGCATTAACTTTCTGGAGCAACTCCAGAAGGTTCAGGAGCAACTTCTGAAGTTGAATGCCCGTGTGGTGCATGTGTTATCTTCTCGCTTGATCCCCACATGCTCGATGCAATTATATCGTCCTTGGCCATCAATCTTGAAAACTCTTCATGATCATATTCTACCTTATTCTTTCCTCCGAACTCCACAGGAAGAATCTCAATATCGAAGGTTTTGTGCATCAGTTCCAGGCTCTCTTCGTTCTTTGGATACACAAATTTCACCTTATGAAAGGTTTTCGCGTCCAAGAAGTACTTGACAATCTTTACATCGAGAATAAAAAAACAATAGAAAGATGTCATTCAATCATGTTTTTTTAAATTACTTTTCTGCAAATTTCACAAAACTACTGAGGTTTTGCACAAAAATATCAAGACCTAATTTCATTAAAGAAAAGTACCACTAACTTTTAGAAAATTACTTAATGAAATCAATCACTATATTAAAAAGTCTAAGATATCCCTCACACTAAAGAGAGTGACACAGTAACTTAATGAAGTAAATGAGGAATATATATATATATATATATATAGCAAGAGAGAGAGGAAAACTTGTGTCAACTTAAGTTGATAGTAAAAAATTATTCACCAAACTTTTTAGCCACTCATATTACCTAGGGATCCTTGCATGATATGAAAATATTTTTTATATTAATAAATGCGTGGCTAGGAAGTTTGGTGGACATCAATTTAAGTTGATAGGAGTCTTACTCTCTCTCTCTCTCTCTCTCTCTCTCTATATATATATATATATATATATATATATATATATATGAGAAAAACTTATGTCAACTTAAGTGGACGTCCACTAAGTTTCTTATCCATTGATGATTACTTGATTGAGCTATATTGTAGATGATCCGCTCCATTGAACTTGATCTACATATTCTAAAACCCCAACACACCAAATTTGGGGTGAACCCGTCGTGGTTTGACCCTTTATCCACTCGTATTAATTTTAACAGTTTCAAATGAATAGAACTTTTTACATGGCTAGACGGAGGGTCAAACCACGACGGGTTCACCCCAAATTTGGTGTGTTGGGGGTTTAGAATATGTAGATCAAAGTTTGTGGTGTTATACTCTAATAAAAATAGTTGGTAATTTTTCTGCAGAAGCCCAAATAGATCATTGTAAATTCAAGCTTGTGGTGTTTTCCTCTAATGAAAATAGTTGGTATTTTCCTGCAGAACCCCAAATAGATAATTGTAGTTTCGTTAAATTCACACATTTACTTTTAGGTGCAAATAGGAAATGTCATTGAGGAAAAAGGAATTTACCTTCCAAAAGGTTTCAAAAATTCTTGGAGGATTATAAAGGAATGCAGCGGACAGCCTCTCAGGATAGTGACTTTGCAGAATGTTTATGGATTCTCGAGCTGTCTTTATAGGAACAGACATGCTCAATGACCATCCACTGAAATCTATCAACCACACCATTTGCTCTTGGCCCTCAGATAGATTCAAAATTGCATTCTCTATGAGATATACCAGATGACGGAGTTGATTGTCATGTGATGATGTATTCTGTAAAATGAAAATAAAAATCTCCATCAGAACTCTATTTTCACCAATTTGACTATCAGAACTTTGAAGGGGAAAAAACTGTCCAATATGCACAAACCTGTTTTCCAGGCCTCAGTACAAGAACTGTTCTTCCTTCTCGATCCTGGAAATTTGCACGGTACACTTTTCCAGTTTCACCTTCACTAGCAACCTCATGCTGGGGGAAGTAAAACATATAACTAAGTAATATTTAATGATTATTAGGGCTTTAAGAGGTGTTTATTACAGATAAACCGCCTATCACAATCAACATATTACCCTGTAGTTATATTGTTGCAAATAGGTTCCTGAGTGAAATTTTTTGATCCTTTTCAGGGGGTCTATCTGCAACAATTACGATTTTCACTCAGAGCATCTATCCACAACTATAGAACTCTTTCAGGGGGTCTTTATGGAACAAGAGAACAACAGAGGTATTAAGTTCAATTTGGTGGTAGTACAGGCCCTTCAGGGCATATTTCCACAATTAACCATTTACAACTGATGCAAACTTACCCAGCGAATCTCCTCTGGCTTATAGGTTGATCTCCACTTAAGTGTCTCTTCCAACATCTTTCTTGCCTTGTCAACATTCCAATTGCGAGCTTCTAAGTATCGCCTCAGGCATGCATCAGTGCAAAATTGCAGGCTACGGACAGATAAGGGTCCAATAGCAGATTTTAGCTCATTGATCTGTTCATGAAAACAATAAAGACACTTTTCTGTAAGGTGAATGTCCGTCTCAATCATGTCAATGGAACTTAAAACAAGGTACGGTGCAAATTAGCCCCCTAATAAGCTTAATGAAGAAAAGTATGAGGCACTAAGAACTTTACAATTCTTAGTAAGGAAAATGCAAATGGCATGGTAAATCCATAGTGATCATAGAATCAATTATGAAGCGAGTGGGGATTGAAAAACAAATGGTAACATGTAAGTATGAAACATAAATTTTTACCTTGTGCATCTAAATGATTATTTTTCATGCATACGTTAAACAAAACTAAGTTAATTTACTCTTTTAAGTATTCAGGATAGGATATATCTGGTGGAAGGAGACCATGGGAGGCCCTCCTATCCTAGAAAGAATTTGGCAGTTCAGTTGTTATATAAGGGTATTTGTGGGGGGAAAAAGATTTATGACATTTTTATAGCTTAGGTTTCAATAAGGTGAAAAGAGGAAGAGCCTGAAAACTGAAGCTAAATTCCATAAAGGGAAGGTCTAAATAGATTGAGATCAAATTGCAATTAAAGTAAAGTTACAATTCTTCATCAACAAACTTCTAGTGTGAAAAGAAAGGTGATTTATGGAATTTTTATCTTCCACTTGACAGATAAATTGAAATATTTTCTAACTTATAAATGAAAACGTTGAAATGGATTAATAATCTTCCACTTATACTTCCTCCTCCATAGTTCAACTATCTCACATCTAGTAATCATACTCAGGCAACGACCATACTTCCCAACAAAAAAAAGGGGATAAAAAAGAAAAAGCAATCATGCTCTATTAACTCTGAAACATGCATCTCATCAGACCCATTAATCATAACTGAATGTCTCATTCTGAATTTCTCGATGATATAAGAAAACCTCAAGGAATGCAGTGAGTTCTTTCAAATTTCTACAATGTAATTAGAGTGTCATGCTCATGCATCTCATCAGACCCATTACTCGTAACTGAATGTCTCATATTCTGAATTTCTCGATGATATAAGAAAGCCTCAAGGAATGCAGTGAGTTCTTTCGAATTTCTACAATGTAATTAGAGTGTCATGCATTCAAACTAACCATGGTTGGATATAGCAATTTCTATTTACCTTTGCTGCCTTTTGAACGGTCTCGTCCTCCTGGACAGCCTGAGAGCTGTGCTTCCACCTGAACATGACGACCACTTCTCCTGTTCAAACTATTTCATGTTTCATAGAGGCTTAGATAAAAGTAGGAGACTTAATCCATACAACACGCATTGCTGAAAAAAAAAATTATATATATCAAAAGACAAATTCTGGTTAAGTTTATGGTGCCACAAAGCAATAGTCCCTTTTCTATTGTCCTCGCCATCACCTTAATTATATGAGCCTATTTTTCCATATAAATAGGATTGTCGATGATGTACGATTCCAATTAAGGAACTGAAATATTGGTTAAGTGGTACTACCACAGTTCAACTTATGTAAACTCTGATGTTTGGTGCTGACTGCAATTATTGGCAACACAAGTGGTGCCTACTGATCATGCAATTTAAGCTTACACATAAAACCAAAAAGTGACACCATAAACTCTAATTATTATCATTTTCATGATAGTAATCATCAACGACCTTTCTTATAAAATGTGGATCACAAGGCTCCATCAAAGCTTTTTGACAGCGTGTAACAACCTAGCGCCATTCACTACAAGAAAATTACGGACATCAAAGATGCTTATGATAACAACAAAGCAACTTTTAGGTAGTTAAACCAAGGAGAGCACAACTGAAATTTTTGAAAGCAAGTCCTGAAGAATAACAATCAAATACTGGACAAACATTACATAAAGAAGGGAAACCAAGAACATCAAAACTAATAAGTTTCATCTCTAAACCACAATATAAGCCAAATGCCAACATTTAATAGAATCCTACTTAAAAGTGTTAGCTGTGATCCTAATTTTCTCAACTGGAGTGGCTTTTGTTAAGAACTAGAATCAAAGGTAAACATCTATAAGCTTAACGACATCAGTTATATTTGCAAGACTTGATGATCATCAGTTGCTGTTGCATTCTAGATATGGAACCATCAACGTATATAGTCTTCTTGTAGATTTTGCTTAAATTTTGGATAAAAAGATTATACGTAAACGAAACTTTTGTCATTAAAGAAAAAAGATCACATAAGATATAATAAATTCATATGAATAGTGGCTTCCATAATAAGGGCTGCTTGAATTAGAGAATGGAAAAACATGAAAAAGGGGAAAGTAAAAAAAAAAAAAAGCTGATTTTGCTCAATTTTGTAGCAACATGTAAGACTGTGATCTAAAATACCTACAAATCTCATACAATTACCAAAAAGTAAAATCAAGAAAGGAGGGAGAGGAACTTAGTCCTCCATCCATATTCAGTTACCAACACCAAAGGTCAGCATCTAAACAACTTCTACAAACAAATAAGCAATCACATCCATAAAAAAAAAGTCTTTTTTTTGGTACTGTAAAAGTTCCATTCTCCACGATTACAACACGCATTCCTGATCAAAAGGGCACTCATGAACAAATTTTAAAACAGTTTTTTTAAAAAAAAAACAAAAATTAGAATTCTGGAATCCCCACATCAGATTGAGCAATTAAACCAGAGTAAAGATTTCAGCAAACAATACAAGCATCCAATCGACAAAGAGCCACAAAGGGTCTGTTTTAGGGAGAGAAGAGGCACACCTGTGAGCACCGCAGCAGGCTAGAGAGAGAGAGAGAGAGAGAGAGAGAGAGACAGAGATCTTATGTTTTGTTTGGGTTGAAGAAGTAAATGAACCGTACGATCGAGGTTGGTGCAGTGCTCGTGCTTTCAGGGACTAATAATTAATGGAGGAGGAGATGAAAGCATAGAAGAGGGCAAAAGAGCAGGAGGAAAAATCTATTTGCTTTTTTTACTTTTATTTCCTCTCTCTGTTACTCTTTCTCTCTCTCTCTCTCATCAGTGGTCAATGCTTTCCTTATTTTCTCTATTCTTCCTTGTTTTACCCCCACACTGTCCCCTTACTTTCTTCTCTCTGCTTTGTTGTCCGAATTCCTGCCCTTGGGGTATTAATGGGCTCAATTGGGCTCGGCCTCTGCTCCTCAACCCATCAATCCAATGGACTCCACCCACATTTGTGTGGTCTCATACCTTTTTCTAGTAACTTCATGGAAATTGTTTTCCCTACTTTTATTAGTGTCGAGGAGCCGCACTAGTGGTGGATGGAATTCCAGTTGGGAGCGTATGACCGTACTGTATGCAAGAGTTTGTTCATGCTAGCCACGTGATCTCCCTAGTGAAAATAATAAGTACACCTTAAAAAAGAAAGTGCTACTTCCTCCACTATGTGAAGAGTTAGCATCTCCAAAAGTGATCTTAGGTTTTTCCTATATTCGAGGAGCAAATATCCCATCTTAGAAAATAGAGAGTCAAATAAGGAATAAGTGCCCCAACAATGCTCCTCAAATGGCTTTCTATCTCATGTCCTAGACTAAATATAGAGAGTAAGAGGGAGCAAAAGTTGCTCTAACAATGCTCCCTATGTTGAGACTAAATATAGAGAGTCACTTTGTTATCTTTGATTTGGAATACCAAATTCTATTCCCTATATTTAGTCTCCAATATAAGAAGCCTGTTGGAGGAACTTTCCCCCGTCCTACTCCCTATATTTAGTCTAAAACATGAGATAGGGAAGCTGTTGGAGATGCTCGAATTTACTTCTCTAAAATATAAATTTCATGTTTTTCGCACTGGTTAACCAGTCAACCCTGCTTTGTTCATTTTCTTTACATTTTACCCCTGGTCAAACAATCAATATATCGTGGCCCTTTCGCCTCGTGCTCCTTCCTCTTTCTAGACTAAATCATTGATGTCCACATCCTCACTCACCAGACTCGGAACCAAAGCGTTAAATATTAAATATACTTTTTTGATAAACTTTTTTTAATTAACTTTTTCCTAATAATTTTTTTCCTGATAAATTTTTTGTTACCTATTTCTTTTTATTTTTTCAAATAAAATTTTCTTTCGTCAAAATTTTCTAATAATCTTCTGGATATCTTCTTAATCTTAACTTTTTCTAGTGCAAAAAATGAAAGATAAGCGAAAATTATTATAAATAACCCGAAACCACCAAATGTAACTAGAAACTATAAAAGATAACCATAAATAAAAAAATTGAATAATGATAACTATACTATTCTCTCTTACACTGCTTCCACACTACGGGATTGTTTTGTTAACTGCAATTACATCACTACTAGAAAATGGAGTATTGGCTACGGACATATAGCGACGGAAATTTCCGTCGCTATAATATGATATATAGCGACGGAAATTTCCGTCGCTATATTTCCGTAGGCAAACAAATATTTACTGACGGAAACTCTAGTTTTAGCGATCGAAATATTCCGTCGCTAAAATATTACCGACAAAGGCATATTCCGTCGTTAAAAAAGCTTTTAGCGACGGATTTTCCGTCGCGAAAACATTTTTTACCGACGGACACGTCCGTCGCTAAAACAATTGGTGGGAAAAAAATTTCGGGCGCGGGCGCCCAAAATTTTTGGGCAGCCCGCCCCCGAATTGACCGAGAGAGGCTAATTAGCCTCTCTCAGACCCGCGCCCCCCCTTTCTCATTCCCCCTCTCTCTCTCCTCACCCCCTCCATTTCTNNGGCGGAGAGAATGTCGGGGAGAGAGAAAGAGATATTTCTTAATTTATGTAATTAGAGTTTAATTTTTGTAATTATAGTTTAATTTTTACAAAACAAAAAAAATTATGGAAAAAACCAAAACCCTAATAAAAAATATTCATCTTGATGAAATTATAATATAAAAAACATTAAATTTAGTACGGGTTAGGGTTAGGTGAGGGTTAGGGTGAGGGTTAGGGTTATGGTTATGGTGTTAGGGTTAGGGTTAGGTGAGGGTGAGATTGAGGGTGATGTTGAGGGTGAGGGTTAGGGTTAGGGTTAGGTGAGTGGGGGTGATGGTGAGGGTGAGGTTGAGGGTTAGGGTTAGGGTTAGGGTTATGATAAGGGTTAGGCGAGGGTTAGGATTAGGGTTAGGTGAGGGTTAGGGTTAGGGTGGGAGTGGGGGTGAGGGTTAGGGTTTGGGTTAGGATTAGGGTTAGGGTTTAGAGTTAGGTGAGTGTAGGTGATGGTAAGGGTTAGGTTGAGGGTTAGGGTTAGAGTTAGGGTTTGGGTTAGGATTTGGGTTAGGCAAGGGTTAAGATTAGGGTTAGGTGAGGGTTAGGGTTAGGGTTAGGGTGGGGGTGAGGGTGAGGGGTGGGGGTGAGTTTGATGGTTAAGGCTACGGTTAGGGGAGGGTGAAGGTGAGGGTGAGGATTAGGGTTGTGGTTAGGTGAGGGTGCGGGTAGAGGTGATGTTGAGGGTGATGTTGAGGGTGAGGTTGAGGGTTAGGGTTAGTGTAGGGGTGAGGGTGACGGTGGGGGTGATGCTGAGGGTGAGGGTTAGGGTGGGGGTGAGTTTGAGGGTTAAGGTTAGGTTTAAGGTTAGGGGAGGTTGAGGTTGAGGTTGAGGGTTAGGGTTAGGGTTAGGGTTAGGTGAGGGTGAGCGTAGGGGTGATGGTAAGGTTGAGGTTGAGGGTTAGGGTTAGGGTTAGGGTTAGGGGTGATGGTAAGGTTGAGGTTGAGGGTTAGGGTTAGGTTTAGATGAGGGTGAGGGTTAAGGTTAGGGTTAGGGTTAGGGTTAGGGGGTGAAGGTGAGGTTGAGGGTTAGGGTTAGGGTTATGTGAGGGTGAGTGTGGAGGTGATGGTGAGGTTGAGGTTTAGGGTTAGGGTTAGTGTAGGGATGAGGGTTAGTGCAGTTACGAGCATCACGGGGGCTCCAGGTCCTTCAGCCAGCATTATCATCAATTGGCGCTTGAGGTATATAATATATTAGCTCTTAGGTTATCAATTTGAGTATAATTTATGTGTTATGAGTTAATGATATATTTGAATAAAATAGGGAAGGGGAGATCTCGGGCATTTTGCAGATCGTATTCTGACTGGTTGGAGTCCAAATTACGCCGATGAAGTGAAGAAAGCGCAGAACCGGGATCTGGCTGTAAGTAGCAGTTAATTTGTATATTTAATTTTTATAACAATGCATTTTAAATGTGTTAGAATTGACCGGGTTGTTTTGGTATATCGTAGGAGAAATTACATGCTAAGGTGCAGGAGCAATTATCACAGACTCAGGTCGATTCTAACACTCCGACCCGATTAAGTAGAGAGGAGGAGGATAGCATCATCGAGACGGTCATAAGAACAGATACCGATGGAGAGGATCCGAGCATCGGCCGTACGAGTCCAGTAGCACCTACGAGTCTACAGCACAACCAGGATGCAGTTCTTCTCAAGACCCGACTATGGAGCAGCGGATGAAAGCGATGGAAGATTAGCAGTCGCATCGGGAGTCAGAGCTACTCCAGATGGCGGAGGAAGAACGGAGGCGCCGAGAGCAGAGGGAGCTGGAATTCGCCCAGCTCATATCGACTCTGCCTTCTGATTCTCAGGAGGCATATAGGAGACGGTTTATGGCGGATCAGGTAATATATATTTTTCTTTTTTAATTAAATGAATTAAATATAAAATTCTTACTTAGTTATGAGTATGCCATGTGACTAAATGATATCACACACACACACCGATGCACACTGATACAAACTATTACACAAACTATAACTCCCTCCGATACACAAAACCAAAAATATATACTTAATGTTTTTATGTGATGGTGGTGTTGATGGTGTGTGCGTGCGTAGCGATGGTTGTATTGGTTAGTGAGTTGGTTAGTTGGCTGTTGTTTTGTTTTGTTGTGGTGCGTTCGTGCGTAGGGTCGTTGGTTATGTTATTGGTTGGGGGGGGTTTTTGTGGTGGTGGTGGTGGTGAGGGGGTGGGGGGTAGGAGTTTGGTGTGGGTGGGGTTGGGGGATTGTTGTTGTGGTGGTGGTGGTGTTGTTATTGTTGTGTTGTGGTGTTACATGTGTTGTGTTATCGTGGTCGTTATGTGCGTGCTTGATGTCGGGTTTGGTCGTGGTGGGGGAGGGGGAAGTGTGGGGATTGGGTGAAGTTGGGTACTCGTGCGTGCGTGTGTGCGTGTTGGTGGAGATAGGTACGCGTGCGTGCGTGTGTGCGGGTAGGGTTAGGGTGTGTGCGTGCGTTGTTAAAAACATGTGCGTGCTTGAGTATAATACATAAAAATATGCCATTATACTATCTTCGAAACATATAACATGTAAGAATATGCCATGATACTCTATTATTGCTATACTTGCATGTCATGCCATGTTGTTTTATAATTTGTTACTTTACTGCAAAATTCAGTTTTTGATGATGTACGTATTGCTCTATAACTCTTGTTAACGTTTTATTTATATTTTTAGGCTGAGACTTCTCGACAAGGTGGAGCTGGTGATGAGGATGATGATGATCGGGACTGATTTGTTTTAACATTAAAAACAATGGGTGTGCTGTATAAATAACATGAAATAATGTTGGGATATTTATTATGTTTTTAGTGAAATATGTGTTATATATGCGTGAGAATAAAATATATGTTATATATGCGTGAGAATGAAATATGTGTTATATGTGCTTGTGCTGTGTAAATTTATTGTACATGTTTTTATTGTGAAATATATTGTACAAGGATTTTTAATTTTCAAAAAAAAATTTTAAAAAAATTTTTGCTGACTTTTAGCGACGGATTTCTGTCGCTAAAAAGTCTTTTGGTGACGGAAAACAGATATGGCAAACAGAAACTGATACATACATTTGGCGACGGATTTTCCGTCGCTAAAATCTATAGCGACGGAAAATGTCGTCGGAAAAAAGCAAGTTTTAGCGACGGCTTCTCCGCAGCTAAATATCCGTCGCTGATATTTAGCGACGGAAAAGCCGTCGCTAAAACCTTATTTACCTACCCTAATAATAGTGACGGACTTATAGCGGCGGAGTTATTAATTTTTCGTCGCTAAAACTTTTAGCGACGG